CTAGTACTTGGGTTGTGGAGGTCTGATCGCAGACGCTACACGTAAACAATCAAAGTTCAGCCGTATCGTAGCAGACTTAAGCCGACCCCAACCAAGTTTTGTAAAAAAGTTCGGAGGAAGATCTGTCTATGCCGATATAGCTCCCAACCAGATAAAACAACTTACATTTAGTTTTCTTTTTTCTGTGATTTAGGGGGCAAATGAACTGCGGATCCTCTGACGGGAAATGACTATCGCCGCCCATGAACCCTTGTAACTCAGATGTCGCAAAAGCGTTGACGGCCTTTGAGGTAGGAAGTACGGTCTTTTCTTGAAGGTTTGGAGGTCGTATCAGTCGGCTTGTGTCCACTAATAACAAATTGCTTGGTTTATAGTTTCAAATTATAAATGAAGAGACATTGATAAGAAAAAACCAGTGTATTACTCATAAAAGTTGAAGATTATTAATATTTAAAAAAAAAATCGAACAAAATAGGCATTAAGTCACGTGACAGCGAATACCAATCAAAAAGTGTTAGCCACGCAAAACATCATTGTTGTTGTTGACGTTTTCATACAACAGAGCAGGTTACTCCTTAGTTTTTCGTTTTTAGCATATTTAAACATTTTTGTTTCGCAGACTGTGACGCCATAATACTATTCAGCGTTTTCAAGGGAAATTTAAATTGTTTTTTTAAATACAATATACTTAATGTAAATATTGCTTTTTCTTTAAAATATAGGTTTTTTGGGATAAAATAGATATTAAAGTATATAATTAACCAAGTTTTCAAATTAAATCAACTAGCCTATTGGGTAAGAAAATCTGTTCAAGCGTTGGCACGTCATGAAATCATTTCCAGAAGTTTCCCCTGAAGGAATGTTACTAACTTATGCTAGTCTGATTAGATATTTAATATTTTGTGACAATAACATTTCAATTACATACGTACTTTGATCAGATGCTGCAAAATCATCTGAAACCAGCAGGATATCCTACTCCTCACCAAGTTATAGCAAAGTTGAGTTCTTTGGTACACTGATTACTATCAGGAGTTTTGGTTTTTTGGTACACTGAGTTGAGTGAGTTCTTTGGTACACTGATTACTATCAGGAGTTTTGGTTTTTGAGTCAGAGTATTTTTATTATTATTTGTTTAGTATTTATATATATCTCACACACTCACACACGGCCGTCTGATCCTAAACTAGGCAGATCCTGTACTATGGTAAGCAGGCCGCTGATAAACATACTTATATATTTCTAAATACATACATATTATAGATAAATTACACCCAGACAGAACAATGGACCGTGCTCACCACACAATGTTTGTCCTGGATGGGAATCGAACCCACGACCTCCGGTTCAGCAGTCAGGGTCACTAACCACTAGACCAACAGGCCCGTCAAATACATTTATGGTATTAGTATTTGTTGATGCAGGAGTATAGGGCTTCATCAAACAGGGGTTCTATCAGAGTCTACGATACGACGATCTGGTTTTATTATTTTAAGTTTATGTTCTTCTGGTGTTTTAAACGACTTTAAAGCAAAAATTGATGAGCCATCGTCCAGTTGCAGGTGAAAAGTACGACAAATGTTTTTTTTTATTGTACAAAACTTGAAGGAACGACAGCTTTGACAAATTTGCTTAAAGTCAGTACTATGTAGTACCACCACTACTGACAAGACTATAAAATATAAACTACTTTGGATTATCTGAAATCTAATTCAATGAAATCTGTCAATTTTATGATTCTTATAAAAATATCTCTACATCAACTACCGAATCAATATAATAATCTTGGCGCCAAAGACAGTAAAACAAACACGTCAGAGTGTTTGCGGACCAGAAACAAAGTTGTAAATCTATTTTCATTCTTGTGTCAAGGGACATAAGGCTTTTAATAGGCATTTTCAGGAAGATGTGATCGCAAAACTGTCGGTAATGTGTAAAGCACATGTTAAAACGTTGCAATATAGATACTAGAATGGCTCAATAGATAAAAATATAATATTTCGTCAGTACTGGTACTTTAATATTTGAAACTGACTAACTTATATTCAAAATTTTATTGGTTATGATATATGTATTTTTAAACGGTAAAGGGATGTACTTAGTTTTGTTTACACTATGTCGGTGACAAACAAGCATAAATACCTACCTACTACCTATCCTAAGAACGCCCTTACTAATACATAAGTAATACATACGTAATTTCTAAAAAAATATATTTGTAAAGATAATCGATCATCTTTACAACAAAAATAATAGGTTCAAAATGTTCCCTAATATATAATAATCTTCTCATTGATATTATAACTTTTTATATCTTGCATGAAATCGTCAGTCATTTTCGAAATCCCGCTCTCGTCCTTATCCCTTCCACCAGTCGATACATCCATGTCGTCTTATGGCTTCAGTAAGGCGTTTTTATGATCCAGTTAGCTCCTGTACTATTCCTGTCAGGGTCCCGGTGACGTGAGCTCGTGTGCAGCCATTAGACAGTTAGGTTATGTGTCATAGTTCGCGCCAATTGTGTTAAGTGTGTTTATGAAGTAAGCTTTATTTTAAGTGAGTATTTTTGAACTTTTTATCTTTAATAAAATAATTGTGATTTTTAAATGATATTGTTTATTACTATTAGTCATTAAAATGTCATGTAATTTTATCAGAAAAACATTTCAAAGTTATTTTATAACAATTCTGTTGGTAGGATGATAAACATCAAATTATTTTAATTATAACATCTTAAGGTTAAATAATTAAAAAAAACAAACAAAAACTATCATTCCTTTTAAAGTTTCACAATCTATGGTTTGTGTATGTGTGTACATATAGCCATTACACATTTTTGAATTACCCGTCGTTTCGACCAGGTTGCACTGGGAGGTCACAGGTTAAATTCAGCATTTGATCTATTATGTGAACTCGTTAATTTGCGTTAACATGTATATACATAGGAATAATACAAATGTATTTTTGACTAACCATTTCTTTTTGACAAAAAACGGTATTAGAATATTTTAATATTTTTCTCTTCTGTTCTGTGGCATTTTTGTTAATTACTCTGTTATCTACAATGATGTTATTTTTGTTTTGTTTTTTATAGATGTTAATTTACATTTTTAATTGCTGATATAATTAAAAATGTTACTATCTGTTAATGTTACAGAAGCTAATACTTAATTAATTCCACTGCCATAGATTAAATCTAAATAATTTAAAACGTTATAAAAACACTTCATTTATTCAATTCAATTCTATAGAAATTAGACTGTTGTATTAATCGTTAGGTACTTGTCTAAAATAACTTTTTTTAACGTATAAAAGAGAAAAAGATCTTTTTAAATAGAAAAGAGTATGATTTTGTTAAAAGATTATTGCAGTAAACGTAAACATAATTTGTGTACAGACACTTGGTAATCACATAAATCTTCCTTATTCTCCGCTGTGGTCGATTGGAAAGTAAAAATATCTCAAGTACAATATAAAGTAAAAATAAATAATTGAAGCTCGTTTCATGAGCTCGATTAATAGCGGTTTCATTCATGTACTCCTTGTTGACGAATTTACAATGAAAATTTATTAACCTGTTACAGAATAATTTCTTTTAATTTGTTGTTTAAACAGAAGACAATATAAATTGGTTTACCCAAAGTATTCTCAAGAGATATTTGCCTTAGTTATGTATTACAGGGGCATAAGAACACTACTTCTTCAAATCATGTTTCGCCTCAGCCCAGCCTAGGCCTCCTAAAGATTTGAACTTCATTAGTCGATTTTAGTTAAGTCAACTAAGAGCATAATTTTAGTAGATTTCTTATACCCTTACTCTATGACTGAGAAATTGTCTTTTATTTACCCTACAATACAAACAAAATGCGTTAAAACAAAAAAGGATATTTTACATGAAAATTTACTTGAATTTGTCTTATTTAGTCCAATTAAAAGCATATTAAACATACATTCTTCTTCATACGGTCTTATTACAATATTGTCAAATAATGAATTGTCTTTCGTTAGTAATTATAGAAGACTTAGTAAACAAGTCTACATAATTAAAAAAAACAAAAACCTGACTACTAAAAGGCAATTTAAAAGTAATGTACTAAAAATACCGAAACAGCACGAGGCAACACGAACATGACCCATTTCTACGCTATCAAAAACTTTTTAAACCAATTTATTATTCCTTATTAAATTTAAATATGTAAGTTATTTATATATTTTTGTAATCTTGATCTATTTCGTCTGTATCGATCATCCGTACACAAAAAAAAGAAATCTAAGGTTATAAACTCTGAAGTTCTGCACCGATTGAGCTTAATTTTTGACATTGTGTCATACAATCCGCTTCAAATATTGTTTTTTTTTTGCGTTAGTTTTTTCTGGTCTAGTTTCTTATTTCTGGTAAATGCAAACAAAATGTGCCACAGCGAAGCTTGATACGGTAAGGCTAGCTTACAATAAAATAAACTCTGAACTTGAAGTAAAACGCAGCTACTATTTGTTTTCTCTAAACTACTTTGTCGTTGACTTCAAATGTGCCTAAAATCTGTATAAGATTCGACAAAATACCCGGTTAAGTAATAAGATTACAAGTATTATTTAATACTCTACATTATACATCCAAAATAAAACAAAATCTACATTTGGACGATAATAAAAACTATAGTCATAAATTAACAACGATTTCAACGTGATTTAAAAAAAAACATCTCAAATATCCATGTTTCTAAAATAACCATGTTCTGGTGAAGTGAGCATGCTTCCTCACTCAAATAATAATAGGCAATAAGTCAGCACACTAACACGTGTTGAGGCAAAATAATAATTCTAAAGAGACGATTAAATTTATAATTCGCAGATGCTCCAGCCACGCGTGATCGTGCACAGAGAAAGTTTATTTTTATAATAATAGCAAAACCATATGCGCAAAGCTACAAGTAAACACCACATGTCAACACCTCTCCATAGAGATTACTGAACTTTTGTAGGTAAATGAACCTATGAATATGGCGCAATATGATGTCATACCTTGTTACGAAGATGAAGATATGTTCGAAGACAGAAACGACAATGTAACAGATTTGCACGCATACTATATGTCCCAATTTAATTTAGAACTAGAAAATAGTAACAGAAATAAGAAATCTGATTGTTTCAAGTATGGGGTTGAAGAAAGCTTTGATTTTGAAGTTCTAGAGAATTGGGATACGTCTGCCAATAACCAAACCGAATTTGGTATGATAGATGATGTTATAGAAAGTAATATAAACGAACAAAATATTAAAGAAGTACTTTTAGATCTAGATAGTATTGATTTCGAAGATAAAACCTATAAAGTCGAAAGCTACAAAGTCAACGAAAACAAATCATATCAACCGAACAACGATTATATAGACGACGAGTCATTGATCGACGAACTATGTAGAGAAGATAATGAATCTTGTAGGCTAACACCTGATTTTAATGAAGAATATTTAAGTCCTGATACCACAGAAAAGAACATTCTACCGTCAATAGACACTGTGCTTTCTAAGCGCTATTGTAACTATAATGTTGAAAATATTCAAATGAACGAATATAATAATATTAATGTTCAGCAAACTATGTGTCCCATGGATAGTCTAGAACAATACAGCTATCCAAATAATATCCTTTATAACTTAGAAGAGAAAAAGTATGTATTACCAGATACACCGACGAGTTGTAATGAATTCAATTTTGATAGGGGTGAAAGAAAAATATCAGTATCAGAATCTGTTGAAAGTGATGTGCAAAGCAACAGCTATTACGATGAAAATTCAGAGAATTTCGAAGAAGAAGACTTGTTTATAAATTTAGATGATTTTGGGTTTACGTTTGAGGAGACGAACAATGTAACTACAGATGATAATAAACCTATGAATCATAGAAAAAATGATAAGGAAAAAGTGCAAGGTAATGATACTCTATTTCTATATCAATAATTGCATTGCATTTGCTAAAGACCATTTTCAAAGTATTCTTATAAAGAAACGCTAACGAAGTTTTGTTCTTTTACAAAACTGTTCAATAGTAAAACTAGATATCAGGGTTGTATATATTTCAACTGGCTGGTTGGTCTAGTGGTTAGTGACACTGGCTGCTAAGCCAGAGGTCGAGGGTTGATTCCCAACTAGGACAAATAATTGTATGATGAGCACGATCGTTAGTTCTTTCTGGCTGTAATTTTTCTATAATGTGTATGTGTATATAAGTATGTTTTTCAGCAGTCTGATTACTACAGCACAGGATCTGCCTGGATTGGGATCAGACTGCAATATGTAAGATGTTTGAAGTTAATATTGACATTTTATTATATTGATATTTTCAGGCGAGAGAACATGTTTGTGGGAGCATTGTAACGAAAGATATCCAAATCAAAATCTACTGGTGGAACACATCGAGAGAGCTCACGTCAACACCTACAAAGGTAATATTTATGTTTTCCTTCGACGTTAATACTCGTAATAATGATTGGAATCCTTTCTCGAATGAAAGTAGGGATATTTAGCATCAATAAATTTATGCGAAGTATAAATGTTTACTTAAAAGCTATAAGCCAGCCAAATCTAATTTTTCTAATTTTCTTATACTCAGTGTCAAGCATACAAATATCTTTATATTTGTGAGATTGCTGCTGATTGATTGATGCTTTATCTAACGATACCACAAACGCTAAAATTCATCGAGGCGTTTAGGCTGCAGAGCGTGCTAAAGCGATATAAGTATTCAATTAAATTTATTGCATTCCATAAAGTCCATTTCCAGGTGGTAGGCTTTATGGGCATAGCATTATTAGGAAAGAGAACGCGCTGCTAGTTATGTTAGTTTTGAAATTTAGTTTTGATGCAATGTTGTCTGCTTTCCAAATAGTTTTGGATATACATACATACTATCGGTGTGGTGATGGATTAAGAATACGGAGTGTCACCACCTCTATTCATCCCATGGGTGTTCTAAGAGTTGACTTAGGCAGCAAACTACACAAGACAACAGCTCTGCAAAGAGAAGGAAAACTTGACACAAACCCTAAGTATATTAACCCGTCTGGACAGCGTGGTATACACAGCCCAAACCTCCTTTCTAAGGAGAGGCCTATGTCATACACTAGAAATACATAATTCTGGAGCAGCAGGATAAAAACGATCTATTTGGTTCCCAAGCTGTCAGAAAATAATTTAATATTTGCCTTTTGATTTCAGGCGATGAATTCAGTTGTTTGTGGCGGGATTGTGCAAGGGAGCGACGCGCTTTCAACGCAAGATACAAACTCCTCATTCATATGCGCGTCCACAGCGGACACAAGCCAAATAGATGTCATGTGAGTATTGTCTTTAATCCACTTCTCATTTTCAACTCCTGGGAGAGCCATTAGAGAGAGATGCCTCCGCCTAATAGGAAAACGGCTGTTAAGTAAAACTTTAGTTACTTCAGTCAGGAAGGTTACCGGAGCTGAAATTAACTTGATTGAATTTGACTGCACGGATGGCGTAGTGGTTTGAGCTGTCGCTTGCGCACTATTAAAAAAAAAAGAGTTGGCCGTCCCTGATTCTGGGAGATTTTGGATTCTTTTGCGTGTAAGGTTTTTAGCAAAGATAGATAGGTTTTACAGTGGAAAAATGTTTCAATAACCAACATTTTTGCAGCATCCTGGATGTGGTAAAGCGTTCTCTCGTTTGGAAAACCTGAAGATCCACGTTCGGTCTCATACTGGCGAAAGGCCTTACGCCTGCCCAGCGCCTCACTGCAGAAAAGCGTTTTCGAACTCTTCAGACAGAGCTAAACATCAAAGAACACACTTTAATGCTGTAAGTACATATTTTTTATGTTTTTATTTTCTAGGTCTTTGGCTTTTATCATTGTAGCATCTTCGTTTGTGTCCATTTTTTATTGATGCTTGGCTCCAATTGGTCAGAGGTCAGCGCGTACAACCAAACTTACAAACTCTTCCGATTTATAATATTAGTATAGATAAGGTTACATACTAATAATGTTTTAACACTCCTGTGTACCCCTACGGGGATGAAGACGTGAGTGTATATAATATAGGGACGCACTTCATGGAGATACTCAGACAAAAGCCTAAAAATCTCTATATAGTTACAATTAAGAAAACACACCTCCGACTGCACGCATGGCGTAGTGGTTTAAACGGTCTCCTCGCGGCTTCCTACTTTTCTAAGTGTTGTGGGTTCGATTTCCATATGGGACAACAATTTGTAATCAACAAATTGTTGTTCCGAGTCTGGGTGTTCTTTGTGTTCGTTTCGTGTACGTTTGTAAAGTCCCCCGCGACACAGTTTAGATTCCTAGTGCGGGAGTTTTCTTTAAAAAACAAATTAGAGATAATAGACATCAGACTAACTCCATATTCCTTTCCAGAGACCTTACGCCTGCGGTGCCATCGGCTGTGGTAAGAGATACACAGACCCATCTTCTCTTCGAAAGCATGTCAAGACTCACCCCCATATTACCAGCATTCCCAGAACCTGCATACCACCCTCTAGAACAATGAGGAAGCCTGATCAGGAGCAGACTGTTCCAAGATCACCAGCAAAATTGACCACCCTTCGGTGTATCAGGGATAAATTGACAGTACCTAGATTGCAGAAACTGTAGATTAGATCACCTTAAGTCATTTATTCATCATAGGTGATGAAGAGGTATTTCCAAGTTGCGTAATGCTCAACATTGTGTCTTTTGTGTATAGTAGTTCATTTAATTTTTTTCTTAGACTAAATTAAATTAAATTTTCAGTGAAAAATTGTGTGGGTAGTTGAATAAATAAGTATTTTTTTAAAGCTCAACAAAGACTGAAAGTAACACGATTGGCTCAAGATTTTAATGTAATGTAGTTTTAGTAACATAGTTTAGTATGTGTTAAAAACACAATAAAAAATATGTTTAAGTCGTATTGCAGATGGTTTAAGATTCCAAATAAATATTAATACGTTGAAACTCTATGTAAAAAAAATACTTTAAGCAAATGTTTTATATTTCTTCTAGTAATCATTTAGGATTCCTAATTAAGTTTGCAACCGAATACTAATAATAGTTATTTTGTGCACATTAAAGATTTATTAACTTTTTTAACAACAAACAAAACAATAATGTCAATCTTTACTGGAAAAAAAGGGCAGTTTGGCATTTTTCAACTAAAAATTATACGTACCAAAGTACATTACGTTGGTGTAACAATTGCAGAGTAAAATTATAATCGAATAATTATTCTTTTTTGTATTTTTATGGCCTGAATCGAATAAATTAAATTTAACACAGTGTTGCAAACAGTTACAATTGCCCTTTGAAAATGTGGTGTCACATATTAAACACTCTTTTGAACAAGGCACTCTGTGATTGCGCTCGGAGTATGTAATAATAGCAACAGTAGCAGGTAACTCTAGTTCGGATTTATTGAAAAATAAAAATTAAAATAAATTACTTTTTAAATAGGTTCATAAATGACAGAGTTCTGAGGTAGCAAATGGAAACAAAAAAAAAACAATTGAATTCAGAATCTCCTCTTTTTTTTTTAAATAGAGCAATCAGCATCTGTGTTAGGCAATATTTGAAGCTAAGGTTGTTAAGCTCTAGGTAATAATAGTAATAGTAATTCTTTGTATAAATGTACTTATTTAACATAGATCTCTTTCAAAAGACCTAATGTACTATAAGGTTAGTGTTTAGTACGTATTTTAGATATAAAACTAAAATTTCCATGTGCACCTATATTTGCTCAATTAATTTTAAATTATTATAAGTTTTAATTTTAACCATGTCAGAAGATAATATTATCTGTATTTAATTTTATATGAAACAAATTTTGGCATAAAGTGAGAGTTAAATCTATGGTTGGAAAAATCGTATTCTTCTTAAAACTTTAAATATTTATTTAGTTAATAAAGTTATATAATATATAGATAAAATTTTAATAAAATAAAAGCTGAAGAATTATTTTTTTGTTAATATGTATGTAAGTCCATTTGAAAGTCAGGCCTACCATAAATTACGAATGAATAAAAAAAAACAACATATATTTTAAGTTCAATTTGTAAAACTGACCTGAGTATGTCTGACATACTAGGACCTTTTAATCCCTAAGCTGCCTTCGGGTCTGAAAGACTGTATCAGTCAAGACACCACCAAATACTCTTGTGAAGTTCAGAGTAAAAAGTGAGTCTTTAATAAATGTGAATGGTGATGACAAAAGGTGAAGATCAATAAAATTAATACAGATAATATTATCATACATTGTATCTATGAATAGAGTATTGTTCTAGAATGTACAAATGTTTGCTTTCCAAGGAATCTCGTTAGGGTTACTAAAGTATTTTCCGTTTTGAGATCTCTTTTTTGCTCATTTATTATTATTATGTAAATCAATGTTGCCACTTTAGTTTTGTAAAATGGCGGTCACTGTTTTTTAGACTTTTATGCTCAATTAAAAATAAGTTACAAAAAAAAATATTGGCGTTTTATTTTTCGGTACCAGTTGGAATATTATAGTTATATGTTTTTAAAATGTTTGTTTCGGAGTGAAAAGCTTGGGGTGCTTTTACTTTTACCAATATCTGTCAATAGAATACTTTTATAGCAATTGAGATGTAGCACCCCAAGCATTTTTATGATAAAATGGTTTTTCGTTTTGTACATAAAATTATTTTCTACTTTTTAGTTCGGCTGTTTACAAAAACGTGTTTTTTCGTTTACAATTAATTAATGATTGACATCGTAGGTAGAATTTGACTAATAATCATTATAATAGTGTCATTAAACGAATTATTAAACCAACGTACGGCAAATAGAAATTCGTAACGTACGGCAAATGGTCCGTGTGGTGACGAATTAAGAATACAGAGTGTCACCACCCCTATTCATCCCGTGGGTGTCGTAAGAGTCACTAAGGGAGAAAACTACGCAGAACAACAGCACTGCAGAGAGAAGGAAAACTTGACACAAACCCTATACCAACCCGTCTGGCCAGCGTGTTATAGTCGGCCAAAACCTCCTTTCTAAGGAGAGGCTTATGTCCAGTAGTGGACTATTAAAGGCTGTTGTTGAACGGCAAAAGGAACTTCAGAAGTTTTATTAGAAACGATTAGAGCATGCACTGGGTCCTCCTCGGGGTAGGGTGCCTGAGACCAGCAGTCACTACATACTTCTGTCTCCTGCGTCCACGAGGAGCCGGCGATCCGAAGGGATTTTATACCCCGTCACTAAAAAAAAAGGTTGGGGTCGGTCTTAAATCTAATACGATACGGCTGAACTTCGATTTTTTACGAGGAGAACTGCCATCAGACACATCCTAACCTAAGGACCATCCACAACCTAAGGACTAGGCGATATCAAAGTTCTGTAAAAGACTGTTGTCAGATTTTTAACCGACTTCAAAAAAGAGGAGGTTCTCAATTTGATTGGTATTTTTTTTAAGGCTCCAACTACTCGTAACGATTGCAGCAGATGATCGTATGGCAACCGGGACCGAAGGCTCAACGTGCTCTCCGAGGTACATAGGGGTCTTGTGGAGGAACGGGTGTCATGTCCCTCCAACACAAAGGGAGGATCCTCCGACCAGGCGAAGTGACCATGCCTGGCGGGCCGCGGCCCCACGGTTGATGTTGGGAAGTTGTATATATGCTAATCGGCGAGGGAATTCTTTATATCGCGATACAGGATTAGCAATTCTTTATTTTAGTAGTTACTCCGTAGTTCGGTGTGTCTTCATTAGATGGCGCTGTAGTATGTTTCTGTTTCTTAGTATGTGGGAGTCGCCACAGTCTCAATGTTGCACCAGGGACTTCCTTTCTAGGGTATACCTGGTTCCCCGGCTATTAGTACCCGAGACGGCGTGCGGTTTTAGTCGGTTCGAGTCCGACATGCCACCTATAGGTGGTATCCGAGGGGATTTCCGCACGGAAAAAAAGGCATTATCACAGTTATCAAGTTTTAAGAAGTCTTAATAGTTCATACGCACTTGGATATTTTGAATGGTATTAGGAGGCGAACGAGCAAACGGGTCAGCTGATGGTAACAGACAAACACCGCCCATGGACACCTCTCACCGTTGCGTTGTCGCCCTTTTGCACCAACCCCTCCATTTTACTTACTTCTACGACTCTAGATAAAAATACCAGTACTCTACTTATTCCGATCTCTTATAAGACATCTTTGCTTCAGTTCGCAGAAACAAAACCGCTTCAGTACACAACCCTAAAAGACAAAGTTGCAATTTAGAAATTATCTGTTATTTATCAATGTTTTACAGTATGGAAGTCATCATTGTGACCAACGCCCTTATCTGGTGGTATAAAAGTAAATGTGTTAGTGCTGATAGTGTCAGAAGTGTGCAGTGACAGAAGCGGTTGCTGAAGGGAAAGCATAATGAAACTGTTGTTACGAGTACTGATGGCGATTATCGGTGAGTCAATGTTTTTGTAATAGACGGACAAAATGTAGGTGACATCTTCCAAAACAAATGGTATACCTAATTAACATTTAAAAAGTATCCTCGACTTCAATTGAATTATAATATCAAGATCGGAACGTAATGTAATGTACTACGCCCCGCGGTTGTACCTTGCCCATCTCATGGGAACACTATTTTTTTCGGGATAAAAAGTAGCCTATGTGCTGTGCTAGACTATAATCTACCTCTGTGCCAAATTTCATCCAGATCCATTCAGCCGTTTTTGCGTGAAAGTGTAACAAACATTCATATAAACTTTTGCCTTTATAATATCAGTTACAATCTTTAATTTCTAACCGACTTCAGAAACACAAAAGAGGAGGAGGAGTATCTAATGATGGAGGATAATCCTAGAGAAATCGAGGGAAAACCTCAAATTTTACAGGCCCGGTAACGTGTTTTAGCTTGTTTGTCTAGCTACATAGGTATTTGTTTTTAGTATTTGTTTGAAAAATACTTTAAAGCAAATGCTCGCTTGGTATAAATGGACATGTGGCTACAGTGCCACTAGAGGATCGTAAAACCTGCCACAAATGGGCCGAAACAATTCAGTAATTCAGAATTCGATTTATTCCCAACCGTGAAGAATGAATTACGTGGTCAACGTTTTTCGAGCCGTGATGAGGCTGTTGATGCGTTCAAAATGCACGTTTTGGAGATACCACAATCAGACTTAAAAAAGTGCTACGAAAATTGGTTCCAACGTATGCAGAAGTGCATCTATCATCATGGGGAATATTTTAAGAAGCAATAAAACTATAACAAATGCTTTGTTTCACATGTATATGCTCTCTTATATCACTTATATATATACATTTATGTAACCGGAATAACACTTCCGGTTACATAAATAGCAGCCCTCGTACTACGTAAGGATAGCTCGAAATGGAATGGCACTTATTATTTTTAAAATACTTGGTTTAAATTCTTAGTTTGAAAAGTTGTGAATGTGGTAAATAATTAGTGATCGAAATAATTTAATTATTACACTTAAGGCCTCTTTGTAAAGCATTCTTACCTTTTATTTATTTATTTTTTTTAAAACCGCTTTTATAGACCCTGTAGTACCAAAGTAGACCAAACTAATAAGCCCAAACTCGATAAACAACTCCATGGTGCCATATTATTGTACTGTCACATATATACATTATGTACACTAAATTTGAGCCTAATCGAATATCGGAAAGTGGTTTTAATGTAGCTCACAAAATTCAATCAACACACATACAAACAATGCAAGTTAAATAAAAGTTTTTAATAAAATATTGTTATTATCTTCTTTTAGCCGCTGTCACGTCAAGCCCCGTATCCCAAGTAAACCAAAACTGGCCTTGGCAAGTTGGTAAAGCTTACCACTACGATGTATACTCCCACACACTGAATAACTTCGAAGAGGGAATCAGCCATGGAATCGCCTTCAAGGCTCAATACTATGTCAGTGTAAAGTCAACTGGTCGCCTAGTTGCCAAGCTTGACAACGCTCTGTACACAACAGTAAAAACCCACATACTCAATAATTTTGAGATACCATCTGATCTCAAATATAAACCACTTAAAGTTATGGATCAAACCTTTGAAATTTTCGTTGATGGTGGTCGTGTAGTCTCCATCAATGTACCTTCTGAACTCCCCATTCCCTATACAAACTTTCTTAAAGGGTTGGTTGGTGCACTACAAGCCGATCTCTCTCCTCATGGCAATGTTCATGACTATCCAAACGGTTTTGACAAAACCACTTTCCAAGGTCTCTTTAAGAAAATGGAGACGGATGTTACTGGTGAGTGCGAAACTCTGTATTCCGTTTCACCAATGGCAGCTGAGTGGCGCCGTGAATTAACCAAGTACGTTCCTAAAGAGGACCCAATTGAAATAGTTAAGAGCAAAAACTACGGCGTCTGTTCGAAACGTGCCGATGTCTACTTTGGTGTACCCGAAGGTGCTGTATTCAAGGGTATGACACACAATAATGAAGAAAAGCAGATGATCAAACATGCCTTTGAGGCTCGTTTACTTGTTGGGAAACAAGGCCCAATTTACAAAGCTGAAGCCATAAGTTCTGTCACTGCTAGCCCCATTGTTTTCGGTAAACAGAAACCTGAAGTTGTCAGTTATATTAAATTTACTCTGAACTCTGTAGAACAAGACACCAGTGAATCCTGGAAGAAGACTGAAGAATTTAGTTCAATTAATTCACTTTTGTATACGAGTGATAACTCATCAATATTTACTTACTCGTATGGTGATCAGGAAGGCGTTTCTAAAGCCTACCATTATCTAAAAGAGATGTCTCCTTTGCTACAAGATCCAAATAACTTATCCAAAGAAGGTTTCCTTTTAAAATTTAACTTTCTGGTAAACCTTCTCGCTTCGTTCAATTCAAAACAACTAATACAAATGACTGAAAGTCTTGAAAATTCCAAAACTTCTAAGAATTTAGCTAAAACTGGCATTTGGACAATATACCGTGATGCTTTATCCGTAGCAGGAACTACAGTAGCCTACGAACATATCAAATCTTGGGTCCTCAATAAGAAGATTGTTGGTGAGGAGGCAGCTGAAGTGATAACAGTTATGGGTGCTAGTCTCTCTAACCCTTCCTTAGATCTTGCCAAAGATTTTTTCAAATTCGCTATAGAACCAGCAGTTGTAGAACTTAAGTATGTTAACAATTCTGCTCTGTTAGCTACTAGTAAATTATTACGTTCCGTGCACGATCCGTTTATTGAAGAGACAGTAATTCCTTACTTCAATAAAGAACTAAACGATGCCATCCAAAATGACGATACAAGCAAGGCTCACGTTTATATAACGGTTCTCGGCAACTTAGCTCACCCCAGAATATTAAAAGTATATTCGCCGTATTTGGAGGGACATATACCAGTGACAAAATACCTTCGCACCCAGATTGTTACAAATCTTAAAGCGTTGGCTTATCTGAAGAACGAGTACGTGCGTGCCGTGCTGTTCAGCATCTTAAGGAATACCGGTGACATTTATGAGGTTAGGGTGGCTGCTGCTTTGAACCTCTTTATAGCTGTTCCTACAGCTGAGATGATGCAAGTCCTTGCACACATGACACATTTTGATCCAAGCACCCACGTTCGCGCTGTGTTATCAAATAGCATTACTTCTGCCGCTAGTTTGAAGGACCCACGTTTCAAGGAACTGTAAGTTTTTACTTAATATATACCTTAATGTAATTAAAGAAATAAGTAATAACTTCACACATCTCACACACGGCAGTCTGATCCCAAAATAGGCAGCGCCTGTACTATGATAACCAGACTGCTGATAAAAATACTTATATATTTGTAAATACATACAAATTATAGATAAATTAGACCCAGACACAGACCAAACGATCGCACTCATCACACAAATATTTGTCCTGGGTGGGAATCGAACTTCGGCTTAGCAGTCAGGGTCATTAACCACTAGACTAACAGGCCCGTCCATTAAATTAATCGAATACATTTGTTTTGTTTCCCAATATTAACCAGTATAATAAGAACTGTTATTGCATAGATTTTCCGTAACGTGACAGGTCAAGATGATATATTGTTGCTTTTTTTCTATTTGTTTAACAACTAAAGCTGCAAAGAAGCAAACACTTGTAACTTAAAGTCATTAACGACAACTGTATTAGCATGAACTGTGGAATAAACAGTAACACTAGAATCTAATATTTATACTGGAAGATTGTAGAAGTTGACAAATTGGACCAAATTTCAAAATATCGGCGTTCTACGATATGTCCAAACAGATCTCAATCGGCACAATTTAAGGATTTGCTGCAATATATATTGGACATTTTAAAATGCACTAAATGTGAATACATATTTGGTTTCATAATTATAATAAAATTGACAAAAGTCAACGTGTGAATATTTAAATATCTATATCTGTTCTCTACCTACTTTTAGATCCAAGATCGCACAGTCTGTTTTGAATGTCATCACAAAAGATACGTTTGACTCCAAATATTCGGAAAACGTTGTACTTGAAGAATATCTAAGTGAGGACGACTACAATTACTTCAATCAACTTGAAACCATCGGAAGTGATAATAGCTTCCTACCAAAGTACCTGAGAAGTATCTTCAATTTCAAAGTAACAGGCTTTAACGAGGAAAGCGAGGTGAGTATTAAAAACATATTATATTATTTTTATTATTATTATTATTATGTCAGAAAAAGTAAAATGAAGAAATTACTCAGGCTATAAGTTTCTATTCACAACTTTGTTAGTACTACTTTTACAAAAATGAACTTATCAAAATAGTACAGGTTTTTTTTAAAACTACTTTTTTATTCCTTTCAGGTGACTTTGTCTGTGTCTGATGTGAAAGATTTTTTTAATTATTTCATGCAAAATGTTATTGAACCCACCAAAGTAGACCCCGGTTTCAAATTTTCTGCTAAGCATATTGTTGAAAGCTTAAACATTAAACGTGCGCCCCGTCAACCTTTGGAGGGTGCTCTCTTTATTAATGATTGGAATCTGCAAAAACTTATTACTTTTAACGAAAAAGACTTTCATGCGTTTATTTCTGATGCTGAAAAAACCATTGAAAATTTATTAGACGGGATTGACGCCCAATACACTAAAACATTATACTTGAAGCACATCAAAGTTACTTGCCCACTAGCTAATGGAATGCCTTACATTCTTCATTACTCAGAACCTGCTATAATTATGGCTAAAATGCATGCAGCAGCTAACGTCAAAAATGAAAATAATGTGATAGCTGGATCTTTGACCAGCAAGATTGATTTCACATATTCCAAATCGGTGCAGAGTTCAATAAGTTTCATAGATGTCTTTGGCGATCAGTTAGCCGTTTCTGGTGTTTTGAGTGATCTGCAGCTCTATGTTCCAATTATAATAAACACAGAGCTTAATGGTGGACATTTCAAAATCCAGTTTGAACCGTTGCACGGTGACAGAGATGTCAACCTGATTCAGTTCAACGTTGTACCGTACACAGGAATGTACAAGCGTAATTCAGTTAAATATGACGTAGAACCCATCAAGCGTACAACCAAGACTGCATCAACTGACCTTAAATTCGGACATTCGGCCGGAATGTTCTACCAAGTTCAAGGACATAGCTACTCTTCTGATTACAAAGATTTAAAAAAACTGTTCAGCGATGATCTATTTTCAAACATTGGACGATTGATTTACCAGAAGGACATTGCATTTACCCAGTTCGATTTCAAATACCTTGGAAGAGATACGATAGTGAAGTCAACTACTTTTATAGTATACTTGGGTAAGTTGGTACTCTTATTTAAATCTTTCAGATTTTATTCAGATAGAACAGTCGAAATACTTATAACTTATATGTTAAGTGAGTTTAAAAAGCTATAACAAGGCGTGTTATAAATTTAAAAGTTACATGAACGAGTCATTTCAAGGTGTCCAGTTAACCTATTAGGATATGGAGAGTTTGAAGATAACTCTTCAACTCATAGTTACTGTAAATCAGTAGATAAAGAATAAGTAGGTAGGTATCAGGCAATCTATAGTTGTAATAATTGTCTAAAAATTGATATGATAGTTGGCTCTCCAGCCGATTTACTTTCTCTTCCTGAAACACCAGAATATAGAGCTAGAGCTGTCTAGATCATTATGTCACTGACTAGTCTTAATTTTTTACGATTGCTCTTTTTATGTACATACAAATACATTTTTCCGTTCAGATACACTATATAACCAAAAATATAGCGGAGAAATGGGACTAGCTTCGCCAACAAAACACGTAGAACCCCATAGTGTGGCTCGACGTGAAGAGATCACGAAGAAAGTTGCATCAGACATAGACTCCGCTACAGTACAGTTGTTAGACTTCAGCGCTGAGTTCGACGGGCCCAAAAAAACAGTGTTTGTATTTACTGGTGCTTACGCCTACAGTAATGTTGATTCCAAGTTTCAGACAGCCTTATTTGCTCATAGTACCGAACAGATTAACGCGGTGTTCAGAGTGAATATAAAGAATCCTAAAATCCATACATTGAACTTTGAAGAAGCTCTGAAAAATGAAGTCAAACTAGTGTATGATGCCAACATCAAATATCAAAATTCCGATATTCTCCTGCAAGGCTATGGCGAGCGTAGTAGAGAGTATACTAAAATGCTTAAAAATGACCCCATGGCGAAAAAATGCTTGGCAGAAATAAGCCAAAATAATTTCTTCCAGAATTATTGCTACAATGTGACCCTTAAAGCATATGCCCCTGACTTTTTCACGGCTACAGTAACTTTCAAAGACGTAGATCCTAATTTGCTAAGCTTGACTGAATATACTTACAATGGATATATAAAACCAGCATTTAACTTAGAGGAAGAAAGAAGCTCGTTAGATAAGACAAGTGATGATACAATATACATTGAGACAAAAGCATTCTATTACGACAATTATATAAGCTATAAATTGACTAACACGCACGGTTCAATTAGTTTGGAGAATTTGGAGATCACGTGGGATTTGCCGTATATCATGTCTACCTATGCACCTATTTATCTCTTAGAAGACTCGACTGACTCGTCTACCGGCTACGAAAATTTACGTAAGTGTATATATACTGTATATGTTACTTACGAATACTCTATCTAGAACTATTAAGATTTTAACTCTTGGACTTCATAGGAGTTGCATCGAAATTAATAAATCTTGTAATGGGAACTGAATGATAAGTTCTTCACAAGTGTTTTAAAGAAAACTTTTACTTCAAAACCACTTTTTTTATACGTTAAATACACATACGGACAAAGACAGTTTTGATAAAATTCCTGACGAAATTGGGTACATTGATGACATCAATATTTTCCGCAGGTTATTGCGCTGTTGACGATAATAAGATATTGACATTCAGTGGCCGCAGCTATGAATATGCCCTGACAAGCTCTTGGCACGTAGTGATGGTGGAAGACTCAGAAGACTTAGGTAAAGGTCTTGTCATCCTGGCCAGAAGACCCAGTGCCAACCAAGAAGAAGTATACGTCTCTTACCAGTAAGTATTTTCGCTGAACATTGTAGTATTCAGTTAACAATTACGTAGTATCCACATGCATTAAATGTATTCTTTAACTTTAACAGGACAGAAGATGGAAAATTCTTGGAACTTAATATCAAACCTGATAATATTGATGTTAAGAGTAACGGCAATAAAACTTGCGATGGAGCACTCACCATGTATTGGAATGAAGCTGGAGAAGTGCCTCTTCTAGAATATTATAGTCTTGGAATAGATCTTTATGTGTTTGATATACAGAATAAAAATATTCGCCTTGTGTACGATAAACACAGATTAGTGGTCTTCACTGATGAGTACTACGGCAGCACCATGGGAATTTGTGGGCAGAGCAGTACAGAAATTCGTGATGATTATATGACTCCATATGGTATAGTTGATCTACCTGAACATTACGGAGCATCTTTCAGTCTAGAAGATGAATTTAGCCATCCTAAAACTGTGGCATTGAAGAAGGAAGCGAAACTAAAGGCGTACCAACCCGTGACCAAGTATACTGGCATTCTTCACTCTGATGATGATTGGATTAAAGCGGTTAATGAAACTCCAAAACAGTTTAGTGATAAAAATGTAAAATAAATCCTTATATTAAGATTAATAAGGTTTGGATATTTCTGTATAGAGAAAGCACAAAGAGCGTGGCATTAAAATATATAATGTATATGATAAGTATGTAACCCAACTACAGACATCCAAATATTGACATAGGTTTAATCCAAAATATTATTTTTTAAACAATGAATAAATGTTATTAATACTTTTTCCTTTATTTTAAATCTTTTGTGACTGAAAGTAAGGAATAAGGACTGGTGTCTTCGATATTTTTTGCATGCAACGGAAATATTCGATACTTAATACAGAATGTGATAATTAAAATTTAAGAGCCTATGTCCATAAGGCAATCAGTTAATTTTAGCTTGACAATTTATGACTTAACAATAATATATCTTTTACATTGTATCTTTAAAAAGTTAAATTAAAGATCGGTTACTATCAGACATCGGTTTAAATTGATTGTTATTCATAAGCCAGAAACAACGTGGCGTGCTTACCACCGAATCTCATCATCATTTTCTGGTCCTTATTATTTGGGAATCGGCATAATACAAAACAAAGCAAATTATTAACAGCTGCCTGTCTGACGTAAACTCTCTAAAACGGGACAAAAGAAAAAGGTAACAAATATGATAAAGAAACGGAAAGGACGAATGACTCGCGGTAAGTGATACGGCAAGGGAATAAGAGTAGTACAGTAGCACGAAAAAAGCCGAGGTTGCATCCGTCCTGTGATTAAGATTCATCCATCCTACCATCGAATGTCCGGCAACATCTATGTATTTTCTTGCATTCGTAGGTGTGTTAGAACTTTGGAGATGTTAGACATGCATTTTGGAATAGTTCAAAATGATTAAACACGGCATTTACAATAATTACAGAAAACTTGGATAACCTCGTTGGATATTATTGTGACACTTAAGCCACATAAATGTTCTCGAAAACTTTTAAAGATATTATTAGAGACTTGTACGAGACTTTTAAATCTGTAAGGTTACCTCCTAGGTTAGGTGGGTGCATCTAGGGTCTAACGAAATTCTTTACTGTTCATGTAATCGGTTACATGGAACAACGTTCCTGCATTGATTTCCATTAGCAATACCTTACCAAAATCTGAGGGCCTTAAGCAGAGGATCTCATGTCTGACATTATAGAAACATGAAGCGAAGGTTAATTTGACTTTGTTACTTGAATAACCTTTAATTGGATAGACTTATGACAGATTGCGGGGCGAAGAGGGGGATAACGTAACGCCGATACAACCAATGCCACCTAGAGGCGAGTTGCTGAACTAAAGAGACAAGCGTGATATTTCAAAAAAGTCATTAAAAGTTCTGCTATTCATCGATAGATGGCAAAACTAAAAAGTACCACCGCTGTGCCGGTCGGAGTATTAGGTTATTTTCGTTACGGAATTTCTGGATTCGGTCTCCACGCTCAAGGCCCGATAGATATCCGATAATTCGACGAGTTGAACAGATTATGTTTGGCAAAAATGATTGATATTCAGAATATGAAATCAGAAAATGGATAATGGAACCTCCTGGATTTAGAATTTAGGTTATAACTTTATAACAACTTAAATTTCAATATTTTCGGAAATTGGTAAACCTAATAATTGTTGATGTTATTCAGGAACATATTTTTATTACTTGTTACAATGTATTTAGTAGACCTAAAACTGTTATGAAATATACTTACGACTGCATTTAATAGAAGATAAGACGATAACCTTTAGATAAAGTACTCCTTTGTTTATTGTACACAGTCTAAAAGCGTCATTTATAGCCTTGCACAATCATCATCATTATCAACGGCCCTTAGTAGTCCACTGCTGGACATAGGCCTCTTCTTTTTATTTATTTAATTGGCTTACCAACAATTGTATACACTGGTCAACATTTCAAAGACATTTTACGCACCTCATGCCCTAAAAATAATATTTATTTTATGCTTATGCTAAATTATACAAGTAGGTTTTGGCAAAAACAGATAGAATCAAATAAAGTACCTAAGAATTTTGTATGGTACTGCGGAATTCGGTCAGTGAGTCAGTATGTATATCAACCAGGGCGCTGCAACTATTGAGCAGTTTGCAAAGTCGTGAGATGTTGGAGTTTGCACCGAGAACACTTCTGCGAGGCGGCGGATGCAGAAGGGTGATGGGAAAACGAGGATATCTATCTGGAGCTTGGAACTTTATGTTACGACTATCTACCTTTTATCTTAGAAGCTTGTATAGAATATCGAGTCTATTATATTCCTTCGTTTTTCTAGTGTGAATAATTTAAAGTGTGTCAATCTCGCTTCATAACATTTTATCTTGTTTGTTATTATATTTATGTTGTTAGCTACACCAGAGTCATATGCTAGCTGCCACAGAAACCTCTTCTGTATACGCTTCAGTATTAATTTATGTGTAGCTTAATGTGGTCTCCATACAGGGCTACAGTACTCCAAAATGCCACGCACGCGGCAGTTATATCGAATAATGTTAGTTTTGTTACATCGAAACTTAATGGCATTTCTTAAGATGAAACCCACAGCATTATTGATGCTTTTCTATTATAGTTTCTACGTGTGGTACAAATGTGAGCTTACAGGCAAAAATAACACCTAAGTCCCTGATTTCGTTCACGCTTTGTATTGTATTTTGGCCATAACGATAAACAGATTTTAGAGACTTCATTTTTTTTAAAGTTTCATATATTGCACCATTCTACCGACGCGTCAATTTCTTTCTGAAGTAGATCTATGTCGTCGCTTGTTTTAAAAACATCGACATAGAATTATTTTTTTTTAGAAATGAGTTTTTAGTCTCCTATACCGAGCTTACGACGGGTTGGTATAGGTTTTGTTTCAAGTTTTCCGTCTCTTTGTAGTGCTGTTGTAGTGCGGACTTTGCTCTCTTAGCTTCAGACATTCAGCTCGAGAAATGAACTCTTTTTTTTTAAAGACAACTATATATAACTATATATATTCCTAATGCGGGTTAGGAATATATCCTGTGTCGCGGGGCACTTTACAAACATACATGAAACGGACACAAAGAACACCCAGACTCAGAACAACAATTTGTGGATCACACACACAAGTGTTGACCCATGTGGGGTTTGAACCCACAACACTCGGCGTAGTAGGAAGCGGCATGGTGACAGCTTAAACAATTTGACAAACAATCAACATTCATACTTATGTTATAAATGTGAAATTGATTGTTTGTTTGTTTGTTAAGCTTTCACCCCTAAACCACTTAACCGATTTCAAATATTCTTTCCCCAAACGAAAGCTATCATCATCGAGTAACATAGACTTTTTTAGCGCGTTAACCGACATACACGCGGGCCGAGCCGCGGGCAAAAGCTGGTCTATAATTATACAATGTGAAAGTGAGTTTGTTTGTTTTGTTACGTTTTCACGCCTGAACTACTAAACCGAACCGGATCACTTTGTTGTCCGTCTGTCGGTCTTGACAGACAGACAACAAAGTGATCCTATTAGGGTTCCGTTTTTTTTCCTTTTGAGCCTTAAAAATAACTATTATTGTAATTAATATAATTTAAGTAATTTTATTGGTGAAGCTGAACTGTGGTATAAAATGTAGGAACAAAAAAATATTGAACAGAGTGAATTGAAGGAAACAGAGTTACTTGCACTAGTTTAAGAAACACACCTGTTTTATCCAGACATAAAACAGGGGCTTGATATTTCACTTACACAACCATGTACACCCTGCACTATCGAAAGGTTTTCTAGAACTACACGCGCAGTAAAAACTTGACAACTATCGACAATGACAGAATACCTACTTGTCGGTCTCTGCATGATGAGATGATAGAAAGAGGGTTCTGGAAACATAAAATAAATTTATAAACAAAATTTTTAAATATGTTTTGTCGAAATCCTCGAAGGTTATTATCAAAACAAGGTTAGACGTAAATGGTATATCTATTAAATTCTAATAATTGATCTAGTTTCTTAATTTTGCCCCACCCCTAAGTAAATGATGCGAACGCCCATGAATACGACTTTCGAACATTAAATTAGCGTATTGCCACTTCAAATACAATTAATGTTCTCCTGACTCTTGAGTCGGTATCCACGGGCATACCTGCATATACCACGGCCCGTGGATATCCGCATAACATGGCACACTCCCTTTTTTTTTTTCCGTGCGGAAATCCCCTCGGATACCACCTATCGGTGGCATGTCGGACTCGAACCGACTAAAACCGCACGCCGTCTCGGGTACTAATAGCCGGGGAACCAGGTATACCCTAGAAAGATGACAGACCCCCCTCATCAGATTTGCTCTTTAAATGCTTTTTACCACATTCTATTTCGTTAAAGATCAATAATTAACTGAAGACTGTGGCTAGTATAGAAGGCGCAATTAAGTATGCAAATTGAACTATAACCTTAAAGGTGAACTCTAATAAATAAGATAGCAACATTGAAGATATAATAACTTGAGATTTATTTAAGTTTACACGTGTATACATACATAAGGACCGCGATAGTTTGATCTGCACTGCTCTGCGTTTGTGGAGCAAAGTATAATTGTAACAAGACTGGCCATAAATAATGAATCGATTAGATTATTTGTAAATTTGAATTCGGAATAAGCAATCTCTATATAGAGATTCGAATTTAGAATGCATTCATTATGATGATGATTTAGTAAAAAAAAAAATATAAGGTGACTTGAAATGTATTTTTTTTCTAAGAAAATAATGGACTGGGAATTGGGGATTTTATCAATCGGATAAGACAAACAATTTAATTACAGATGATTCGATCGCTCTTAAGGAGATCATGCTCATGTTTTATTGTCTGAACTTAGTTTTGAATCACGTACTAGGTATATTACAAACGGGAACTCACTCCGAAGACAAGCACCTTAGGTGAATTTATTAAATAAATCACGAGAATTTGTGACTCCTATAATAAGGGCCAGGCCAGCGCAGACCGAAAGGAGGGCAGCGGAAAGGATTTTTTTAAGACACTCGCAAATAAACTTTAACATTATTGATATATTGATTGAATTGTTTGAATTGAAGGAAAAGCCTATTGTGAACGGACTTCAATCATTTTTCATTTGTATTGGTTCAACTCAAGGTTGGTAGTTTAGAGGATGAAAATATAGCTTATATGAAGTCGTTTAAAGTCGTACTTTTGTTAAATTCTTTAATTGATTTCTGTTAATAATAGATCTTTACCTATGAAATTGCCGTTTTGTATGCAATAAGTGAAAGTCCTTATGTTTTCAAACTTTTTTATTTCTGTTATTCGAAGTAATCACCCATGCAATCGACGCATCTTTGCCAACGCATTGGCAGTTTATTGATGCCCTTCTTGTAAAAATCAGCTGGACGGGAGGCAACAAACTCTTCAAAGGCATTTTGTACTGCCTCTCGGGAATTGAATTTTTTACCCACTAAAAAGTTGTCTAAATTTTGGAAAAAGTAATAGTCGGTAGGTGCAAGGTCTGGTGCCAATGCGTTGGCAAAGATGCGTCGATTACAAGGGTGATTACATCGAATAACAGAAATAAAAAAAATTGAAAAAATAAGTACTTTCACTTATTGAATACAAAACGGCAATTTCATAGGTAAAGACCTATTAGTAGTAGTGAGTAATTTACACATGTTTTTATTGACAACATTGTAAGATAAAAACATTCCTTTCAGAAATTTTCCTATTTACACATTTAAACTAACTTTGAAGAAAATAATTTTATCTGTTTTAAACGTTTAGAAACAAATTTCAATGTGTAGAGAGATTACGCTGAGCAATCTCTCTACACATTGAAATTTGTTTCTAAACGTTTTTGTAAAAAAAACCGCGTGAAAAAACATTTTGAAACGAATTTAAGTTAAATTATTTTATATTTTACATTTTTTTCATAACATTTGAATCATTTTATTTTTACTTAAGTATACAAAGGATTCAAAACAAGAAATATATAAATTTAACATAAAAAAACTTGACTGCGCAATTGTTATTTTACCAACTAAAAGGGAAGATAGCATGTAGGCGACATTTAAGAAGAATCTAATGACAGCTTATAGATATGGCACTAAGTTTTACGATAGCGGATTATTCTGTACATGCATGCCAAAGAGTTAAGGGAGAACATGCATGCCAAAGAGTTAAGAGAGAACATGCATGCCAAAAAGTTAAGAGAGATACTTGCTCTTAAAAATTATGACTCACATTTGGTGGTGGGTAAATAGTATCAGATAAAAAGAAACCTACAAGAAAAGGGTACTCCTTCCTTACACCTTCATTGCTGCCCATAATATATACGAATTAACATTAGACTTCTAACTATTGTACATAAAATGTGTTTTCAGCTCTGGAGTATTGTTAACAGTCGACATTGCGTATAAAACACAACTGTGTTCAGACAGCAGTGCTAATAAAACATGTTGTGTTCCCGCCAAGCGTGTTGTAACCCACAACCCTGTAGCACTGGTAGTTCAGCACTGGCGATAGTTTTTATAAACACAGGGTGTGTGTGAAGGAGTAATGGCCAGCAACGCGTTTGTGACTCCTGAGTTGCAGGCGTTTATGGGCGGTGGTGGTCACATTCCCTTATCTGGTAGTTTGCCCCTATGACATAAAAATAAAGTATTAACTGTTCCCGTGATACCAGTACACACATACTCGAGCAGATCAGGGTCGTATATACACCCACTCAAACTGGCTCTAACCAGAATGTTGTTTTAGTTTAAAAGAAAAATGTCGCTTTAGTAATATTGACACGAATTCAACAACGGGAACTTAGGACACCCATTTTTTGGTCCTGTTCGTGAATTGAACCTATGACACTAATTGAAACTACTCTTCAAGAATATTACTGATTTACTTTCTAAAAAAATATAACAAATCAGCATTATGATAAAATTTTATGACATGGCGGACTTAGTTATGTATAAAAGCATGAATACTAGAAATAATGAAAAACATGTACTGCATGTAGGTACAATAACCTCCTCCTTTTTGAAGTCGGTTAAAAACTATTTTATTCAAATTTGCGGTAAACCCATTCAGTATTTATATTTAGATAGTTACGTGTAGAACTCAATCCGAAATATTGATTACGAGTTTTTTTTTAATACGACTTAACGTGACCATTCTTACTGTTTAAATCCTTTTTTAAAAGAAGTTGAACCGACTTCAAACAATACTATCAAAGAGCACTAAAATCCTAGCAGCAATCGCGGTTGGTTTGCTGTCATTTCTTGAACGTTGTCTGTCTGAGAAATTCATCATCAGATCTATATGAAATTTATTATATAGTCACTTCGGAATAAAAACCACTTTGGAACAAAAAAGATTTTTGAAAAACCGTCTATATTTGACGCAGTTATGCCCGAACATACAAAAAAAAATAAACATCTGAATTGAGAACCTCCTCCTTTTTGAAGTCGGATAAAAACATTAGTTTAATTAGATAGCAAAGTAGCTTGGTTTTAAAACAAAGCAAAGAGCTAATCTCAAGCCATACACAAAGTCTAAGATTGAAAGAATTTAAAATTATTGTCAAACAGAAAAATTTGTTGAACGTAAGGCATATCGCATATATACTACACTACTGTATGTATAGTTTGCTCGGTTTTTTTGTTGAAGTTGCTCCAAATCTACGCATATATCTAGGTATGTTTTTCTATGTAACGACCAGACAGTCAAGATGGCTTGGCAACTCAAGAAAATTGGGAAAAGAGAAGGAAGATAATGATTTCATTAATTTTGATAGGCTGAACTCAAGGTAGGCAAGCGGAAACAAGGCGGACAGTGCCTCAGATATAAAGATGTTCAGAAAAGACACATGAAGAGATGCAATATAGACCTACTTACTGGGAGAATTCTGATAGGGATAGACCTGAATACAGGCGGTTAGTACAACAAAATGTTAATACCTTTGAAGCTCAAAGCAGGTGTGATCTCGATGTCAAACGAGACAAACTCAAAAACAAACCACCCCTACGATAAATTACAATTACCTTAATGGTGTGCTAGCTTGTCCCCACGTACGTAAGCCACATCAGAGCACACACTCCAAACTCAGACCCCCAAAAATAAACAGTCCCCGTTACCGAAATCGGCAAGGGATAGTATACATTTCTTATTTCGCGTTTCTAACTTTGAAAATGACGAACTTCTATACAACCAATCATCCCTTATTTTAGCTTCTTAGGGGTGAAATTTCCAAGAAATCCTTTGTCAGTGTGTGCTTACAACATAAAAAGCATCAGATGCCAAAATTTCAAGTTTGTAGCCACAGCGATTTAGGGAAACGCTGCTGCCAAAAATAACGAAGTTTCATATAATTTCCAACCCCTATTATGCACAATCACGAGGAAGCATTTAAAAAAATACCTAAGGAACATTTGTGCTAAATTTCATGTTTCTAGACCCACCGTTTTCAGCTGTGTGTTGATTGATTACTCAATGAATCATTCCGTCAATTTCGTTTTTTATAGATATATCATGTAACCCCACTGTTCGTTTGGCCCCTATACCATAAAAAAACAAATACAATAAGATGTACACAAACACTTTTTACTTTGAGATTTAAAAATATTTGCTTGCAGTGCAACCTGTATTAGGTGTAGCTTCCTTAGCAGATTAATTTATAGACCTTTTAGATTTTGATAGCAGAAAATGGAAGCCAATACATTCGATTTTACGAGTCAATATTGTGATTGTTAGTAATATCTCTCGTCAGTTTTGAAATAGATCAACATTGTAACTATCAATGCGTTCACAGGTCGGTCCTAGACCTTCTGACACGTGTATTCGACAACCCACTATATAAGCTAGGTTAGGAGGACCGGGAGTCACTGTGCACTCTAGTATCGAAACATCTAAGCTGGCTGAACTGAAAACAGTGAAATGAAATTATTGGTGCTAGCGGCGTTCATCGGTAAGTTACATTAAATTTGATTTTATTTTAAACTAGCTTGTACCCACGACTTCGTTCACTTGGAATTTGAAAAGCGCTATCTTAGTGGTAAACAAGCAAATTACTGCAAATATACTGTTTTTTTTTTGTGTCGGAGTGCGCACGCCCTTCGTTGGCAGGACGGGAAAATTCGGGTTCCATCACAGGAGGGGTCATCTATAAGCCGTAGATGACACGAGGTACGTCGGGGTACCAGTGCTTTCCTTTCTAGGGTATACCTGGTTCCCCGGCTAATGGTACCTGGTGACGGTTTTTGGTCGGTTCAAGTCCGGGCATTTTTATATTTTGTTATTTTGGTCCTACTTGCCGACTATACAAGCCTCCTGCCATCTTCTGGAATTTAGGAATTAGGTAACTCCTAGTTTTACTTCAGTTGTTATTTAATGGTGAATTATTTTTAATGTAATTGTTTTCATATATTTTCGTTTAGTAAAATTAATAACTATCTTAACTAACTAATCAAATATTAATAATAACTTCACACATCTCGCACACGGGCGTCAGATCCCAAACTAGTCAGAGCCTGTACTATAGTAACCAGACTGCTGATAAACATACTTAAATATTTCTAAATACTTATATATTATAGATAAATTACACCCAGATACAGAACAAATGATCGTGCTCATCACACAATATTTTTTTCTGGATATTTAGTTCGCGGGTACCATGTCGTGTGCCTAGACAAATCCTCACTAATAATAATAACATACAATACCATTTGTGCGGACGTGGCATATTCGCCGATGCACTGTCAAAATTCAAAAACTAGTAATGAGGTTAGTTAGGCTTGGCAAATTATTCAAGTCTCTTTATTCTATGATTATAACTACCCAAGAGACCAAGAGGTCTCTTGGGTAGTTATAATCATAGAATAGTAATAACATTGTTAATTTTAGTTTGTTTGATTGATTTGTTTTTGTTTAATTTATTGTTAAAATCTCATAGAAGTTTTTTTATATTCAGTTTATTTTTTCTTTCTATTTTTTTGTTTTTATTAAAAGACGACTCCCGCTTTAGGAATCTATTTCTGTGTCGCGGGGGACTTTACAATCATACATGAAACGGACACAAAGAACACGGACACAAATTATTGTTCTGAGTCTGGGACTCAGAACAATAATTTGTGGATCACACAAAGTGTCGTCCCATGTGGGGATCAGACCCACGACACTCAGCGTAGGAGTAAGCGGCGTGGCGAACACTTAAACCACTACGCCATCCGTGCAGTTTCATATAGTATTTCTCTACTATGCATGATGTGATATGTTATGGATGCATGCTTTAGATTTTAGTAAATAATGGAACAACTACTGGCTGTCCAATTAATATATAAATTTAAAAATTCAATTAAATTGTAGCCACTCTTTATTGTCAAGTATTTATGTCGTTTTGTCGTAGTTACCAATATAGGTCTGTAATCTTTTCAGCCGTCGTCTCTTCAGGCCGTCTGAGTAAACAACAGCCTGAGAGCCAGCAAGAATTTGCTTGGCAAACTGGCAAACAGTACCGCTACGATGTCAACTCTCATACATTAACCCGCATTCATGAGGGTACCAGCCCTGGCAGTGCTTTCAAGGCTCACTTCATCATTCGCGTCAAGTCTCCAGGCCACTTACAAGCTAAGCTAGAGGAACCTCAATATGCACAGTTCCATCAAAATTTACGTAACAAAATCTTCTTGCCTGATGACCTTAAATATAAGTCAGTACAAAATCTTGATAAACCTTTCGAAATCATTGTCGAAGGTGGTCGCTTCCAATCAATGAATTTGCCTTCTTCTTTTTCGGTCGCACACGAGAATTTACTTAAAGGTCTAATTAGCGCTCTGCAGGTAGATTTATCTTCTCACCGTCACCTCCATAGTACTGACAATTTTGATAAAGAACGCCAACAGGGTCTGTTCAGGAAGTTCGAAACAGACGTTACCGGTGACTGTGAAACACTGTACTCTGTTTCACCTGTAGCCGCTGATTGGAGACGAGAACTACCACAATTTGCTTCAGAAGAAGACCCAATGGAGATTTCTAAGAGCAGGCACTATGGAAATTGCCACCATCGCGTAGCTTACCACTTTGGTGTTCCGGAAGGTGCTGAATGGACAGGAACTGCACACAAAACCAATGAGAGGCAGTTTATCTCGCATAGTTCTGTCGCTCGTATGCTTGTTGGTAAGCAAGGTCCCATCTACAAAGCTGAAACGACCAGCTATGTTCACGTGCATCCTCATGTGTATGGAAAACAAAAAGCTGAAGTTCACAGTCATGTTAAACTTGCGCTCGTTTCTATTGAACGAGACAATGATGTTGAATGGCAGAAACCTGAAGGACATCGACAAGTTACGACTTTACTTTTTGCCATGACGACCAAACAACATAATATTCACGGTCTGTCACCCTCACCGTTGCAATCTTCGGAAGAATCCCATGAATCCAATGAACATACAAAGGTGTCATTCGAAGAATCTCAAAATGAAGCTCAACGATCTGAAAGCTCCAGTTCCAGTGACTCATCATCAACATACAGAAATGATGATATGCCAAATATAAACGAACCAGTATATGCTGCCATGTACTTGGATTCCGAATCTCATAGTGATAAAAAACAAAACCCCATGAATGCCCAGAAATTACTTTTAGACATGGCTCAACAGTTACAAAATCCAAACAACTTACCTAAGGCCGACTTCCTTAGTAAATTTAACATCCTTGTCCGTGTTATTGCTTTAATGAGCTCAGAGCAGTTGGCCCAAACAAGTCACAGTATCGAAGTAGCCAAAACCTCAAACAATTTTGTTAAAGCTGACATGTGGATGATTTACCGTGATGCTATGATCCAATGTGGGACGCCTCCTTCCTTCCAACAATTCATAAAATGGGTTAAGAGTAAGAAAATACACGGTGAAGAGGCCGCTCAGGCTGTTGCTTCTTTAGCTAAAACGCTGCGTTATCCTACCAAGGAAATAATGACACAGTTCTTCGATTTAGCCATGAGTCCTGAGGTCCAGGAACAGAACTTTTTCAACTCTAGCGCATTGATTGCTGCCACGACATTTATACGTTTGGGTCAAGTAAACAATGAGACAGCTCGGAACTACTACCCTAGCCAGATGTATGGACGCTTAGCCCCTGTACATGATCGATTCGTTCTCGATTACGTTCTTCCTCAACTATCTGAAAAACTAAAACATGCTCTACAAAAAGATGAAAGAAGCAAAGCCATGCTGTATATTAAAGCTATCGGTAACTTGGGTCACCGTGAGATCTTGCAGGTTTTCGCGCCTTACTTAGAAGGTCATTATCAAGTGTCCACTTACCTTCGGGTGCAAATGATTTCAGAACTAAGATTTCTGGTCGATCAGAATGACAAATATATACGAGATGTACTTTACACTATCATGAGAAATACTGCTGAAGCTTATGAAGTCAGAGTTGCTGCAGTCCTGAATATGTTTAGGGCTAACCCAACGACGGTTATGATGCAGGTGATGGCTGAAATGACAATTCATGATCCTAGTATCCATGTGCGTGCTGCTCTTAAGTATGGTATCGAAACAGCAGCCAACTTAAAGGATCCCCGTTATTGGAATTTGTAAGTATTTTTTATTTGCTTTTGAATTTTTCCGATCAGTAAGAGTTTTCTTCACTACATTTGTTTAAAAAAAGCTTTCATTTGATTCACAATAAGTATTATTTAAACTTATTTTGTCTTACGAAGAGGATAAACATCGCTGAAAGGGTTTTTTATTGTTAATGTTTGTTATTAAGCGAGTGTTTTAAATTTCATTTCGTTGCATGCACAATTTAGGTATTATTCTTCTTTGATATTATTTATATCTGCAAACTTGTAATACTTTTTATTAGATCAAAATCAGCCCAAGCTGTCAAGGACTTAGTAACACCAGATGACCTTGGTGTTTGGTACTCCAATGCAGTGTTTTTCGATAACTACGACAGTAATGAATATGAGAACGACCCATATTTCCGTGAGATATCTTATATCGGTAGTGAAGACGGCGCCGCACCTAAAAAGGAAAGACTTACATGGAGGTATAAAATTGGTGGATTAGCTGCTGAAAATAATGTAAGTTAAACAAGTAGTACTATACAAGTAACGATGTTTAGTTACATCGTACACAACAACGTCAATCTTTGACTCAGGGTTTTGAATTTTGATCAAAACTTTTATTTTATTTTCAGGTTGATTGGTCATTCTCTAGTGCTAAAGATTTTGCAGATTACATTAAGCAGATGATCTTCGAACCTCGTAAATCTGATGCTCTGCATAGATATTCTGCTAAAAAGATTTCTGAAATGTTAAATATCAAACACAACAAGCCAGATGAACTTGAAAGTTCTTTCTACATTGAAACTTTAAACCATGAGAGGTTCTTAGCATTGGATGCAGTAGATTTAAAAAAATTGGCACTGGACGTTGGCGAATATTTCAAAGAAATGGAAAAAGGTGTTGAGATGCGTTACACCAAGGTTTTCAACGCAAAACAAATATCTGTTATGTTCCCCATCGCTACAGGTGTCCCATTCATCTACAAGTATAAGGAACCCGTTCTTGTACATATCTACAGTAAAGCCAGCGGTAAAATAAACAATGACAAAAAGGATGTATCTGCTAAAATGAATAAAGAAGTAATGTTTACAGTAGCCGCGAACGTTGACGGTAGCGTTGGCTTTACAGATACCTTTAGTAACCAGTTAGCAAGTGCTGGAGTTGTTAAGAAATACCAACTTAACGTTCCTATTAAAATGACCATTGAAGCAAAATCTGGCGAATTTAAAATGAGGGCAGAGCCCTTGCGACCAAATCAAGACACAACCATTGTTCATTTCAGTATGTGGCCATACTCTACCATACAGAAGAAAGATTCTTTGACACCCATTTCACAAGACCCTTCAACAAAATTAGTCCAGCGGCCTAAGAAAGTGTCGAACACCGACTTCAAATTTGGTCAAGAAATTGGCAATATTTTCCATATTCAAGGATATTCTTTCTCCAAAAACTTTAGACATGCGAATAATCCACTTCAAGCTCTGTTTAACATCGGCGATTTTCTTAAAATAAATGATCTGGCTCAAACTCATTACAACATAAGATATCTTGGCAAGCAGTCGAAGAATAAGGCGATGACATTTACAGCTGTCTATGGTACGTATTGAAACTAGTAAACTTTGTTATCCCCATATCATTTTTTTTTATACCATATGGCGGCAAAGGAGCGAACGGGCCACCTGACGATAAGTGACTACCACCACCTGCACCTGTCGAGCTGTATGGTATGGTATCACTCACACACATGGTATCACTCCGGTCGAGCCGGCCCATTTGTGCCGAAGCATGACTCTTCCATGGCATTAGAGTTTATTTTGTGTTTCTTAATCCATCTGTCCGTGTGGTGACGGATTAAGAATGCAGAGTGACTCCCGTCTGGCCAGCTTGGTATAGTAGGCCAAACCCTCCTTTCTAAGGAGAAGCCTATATCCAGTAATGAAATATTAACGACTGTTGTTGATGATGATGATCATGATGACTCTGTCTTTAAAACAATATTAAGCAAATTTACGGTCATACTCTAGTACACAAAGGAATAAAAGATCTTGAAACCATAATGTATACTTACATGTTCATTCATGCTTTTACAGACGAATATTACAACCAACAACAAGGTGGTGAATTTGGACAAGCTAAAAAGACTAATGATTTCAAAGCAAACAGTAAAGCCCGTCGAGAAGAAATGGCAAAACAGGTTTCCTTAGGTTTACATACAGCTGAAGCCTCAGTTTTAGACTTAAGTGCTAGATTTGAAGGTTCACAGGAAGAAGAGTATCTACTCACAGCAGCATTTTCTTATAGCCCTGTACAACGTAAAAATCAAGCTGCTATTTTCCTTGGAAGAACTTCTGTACAGCATGGACACGAGCAAATTAATGCTATCGTTAAGGTTCACAACCCTGAGTTGACACCTCTAAACTTCTTTGAATCTCTCAAAAATAACAAAGAGGCGACTTTCGAAATTGATGTTATGTGTGGACTAAATGGAAATATTCATATACAGTCAAACTCGGAACGTAGCCAGAAATACACGCAACAGCTGAAACGTCACCCCATGGCACATGAGTGTGGACAAGAAATGAATAAAAACAATCAATACCAATTAGCTTGTCACAAGATGCTTGTGAGATCTCATGCTCCTGATCATATTAAAACTTCTGTAACCTACAAAAATTTAAGCCCTGAATTCTTATATATAGCGTCTCAAGCCTATGAAATTCTTGAACCACTGAATGCTGACCCTAACCCACTGAATAAGGTAGCTGATGGCAAACTAGAGTTAGAAGCGGAAGCATCGTATAATGCAAACAGTCTAAGCTTTAACATGACTTCATCAAAAGGAATATTACGTTTCGAAAATGTACCTATACCAGATTTTGCACCCTACCTGATGTCTTCATATTCACCGTTCAGCGCCATGAGCGGATTTGAACACTTTGCTAATTTCAAAACCAACGACAGATATCAGCGTAAGTACGCAAATTTTATTTAATTTGTAGAAACAAAAACCGGAGATCACACATCTAAAACACAAATTGTAACCTCATACTTTTGTTGCAGCTTTCTGTACAGTTGACGGTGTAAAAGTAAAGACCTTCAGTAGTCGCTCCTATGAATATGAATTATCGCGTTCCTGGCACGTTGTGATGCAGCAGGAAGACTGTAAGGAACGAGGCAAATGGGATGAATTAGTAATCCTGTCTAGAAGACCTAGTGCGAAACAACAACAAGTTTACATTTCCCATAAGTAAGTTTTTAATTTCATTGCAATGCTTTCATTCTCAAAATCTTTTAAGTGAATGTCATGCCATGCATTCAAGTCCTGTTAATTTGAATAATACCATAGCTATAGTAATATTCAAAAGCCTATCCATAGTAAAATAAAATATATGTAAAGCTCAGTAACCTAAATTAAATTCTAATGCAAAAAACTTTTACCCTATTATTATTGCTTCATGTTTATTTCCTGCTTTAGGACCGAGACGGGTCACGATCTCGAAATAGATATTCATCCTTCAGCCGCAAACAACAAAGCTGATGTGAAGGTTAAAACTAATGGTAAGAAGATCTCCGATGGCAACCTTACAACTTACTGGGACGACGCTGCAGAAGCACCTCTCTTACAATACTACATACACCCTGATGGTGTACTCTTGCTGAACATCCGCAATGGACATCTTCGTATTATGTTCGATGGACAACGACTGGTTGTTTCAACTTCTGAATACCGTAAAAGCACGAGAGGTATTTGTGGTCGTAACACTGGTGAGCCCCGAGACGATTTTGAAACTCCCAAGGGCCTGGTTGATCAGCCCGAATATTACGGAGCGTCCTATTCTTTAGATGACGAAAGCAGTGACCCTAAGACACAAGAATGGAAAAAAGAAGCTCAGAAAAATGCTTACCAAGCCAAAACAAAGTATACGAAAATTCTAAGGTCAGCTTCGGAGTGGAAACAACCCTGGGGAAAGCATGAAGAAAATAAAAGCGTTTACAGGACTAGGTGCTACGATAAACAACGTGGGAAATGTCAAGTACATCAGCAGGTGCAGTACCACGAGAACCATAGAGAGATCTGTATAACTAATACACCTTTGGATTCTTGTCAGTCCCACTGCCGCGGTGAGAACTACCATGTTAAATCCGTTCAGGTGATTTGCAAATCAAAATCTGACAAACAGTTCAAGTTGTACAAGGATCAAATCAAACAGGGGCAAAGTCCTAAAGTATCGGGAGTAACTAAACAAGAACAATACAGAGTGCCGACCTCATGTAAACCATAAATATAAATAGGTATATTTATAAACAAAAAGCATACAAATGGATGTATAACGGATATGTATTTTCTATTAAAATTTGCTGTCATATCTATTTATTTATTTAAAATTTATAATTAAGAAAAAGTTTCACTATGTGTAAATATTGTTTATTTTATGTATTAAGTATTATCTATTTTGTATTTTATTATATATTAACGTATTTGTTAAATATTATTTTGTAAATAAGATAGAATAACCAGAGCAAAATAAAAACTACAAAAAAAAACTGAGCAACAAAAATAAACATATTTTAAAAATCTTGTGTTTTTATTCATCATCATCATCAACAGCCTTTAATAGTCCACTGCTGTACATAGGCCTCTCTTTAGAAAGGAGGTTTTAGCCTACTATACCACGTTGGCCAGACGGGTTGGTATGATGTTTGTGTCAAGTTTTCCTTCTCTCTGCAGTGCTGTTGTTTTGCGTAGTTTTCTCCCTTAGTCGGCTCTTACGACACCCACGTGATGAATAGGAGTGGTGACACTCTGTATTCTTAATCCGTCACCACATGGATTAGGTTTTTATTACTTAATAAATAATAGAATGAGGAGGTGGTTAAGCTGTACTATGTACGTGCTGTGTCTACTTAATTTAACCTATGGATAGGCTTTTGAATTTTTCTATAACTATGGTATTATTCAAATGGAGCAATCTCTTCCAGGCAACCTTAGAATGGATCAAAATGTTTCGTCAAGACAGTATAATTAAAGGTACAATGAGTTTTGTCAGGTTTATTAGTGATGAATATAAAAGAGATAAAATTATATAAATATATACACGTAAAACTCATATTTATACATCAAAACAAATATACATACATGGCGTAGTGGTTTAAGCGGTCGCCACGCCACTTCTTACTGTGCTTAGTGTTGTGGGTTCCATCCCCACATGGGAAAACACTTTGTGTGATCCACAAATTGTTGTAAAGTCCCCCGTGACACAGAATAAATTCTTATTCTTAGAAAAGTACATATACATACTACATAAATACTTAAGTATTTTACATACAAAAAAAACACTCACATCACGTCTTGACACTTAACTGACTTAATTAAGATACATAAAATTCTTGAATCATTTTCTTAAAGCTGTTTATTATGGCAATGCATTCCACAAGCGTACAGATTAAACAAACTTTACACACTTTTCATGTGTGTCATTAAGAAACTTAAACCTTTCTGAAAGAAGGGGGCTCCAGAATTGAACAAGATGTAACAAGGAAAAATAAGGATATGAGTATTCCGGCAAAAACGAATCGCTAGCAACTTGAGCCTTACACGCAATTCAGAAACGTGATCATATTTTCTTAGCCCAAATACAAATCGTATACAGAGATTTTGAAGTCAAACATCTCTGTATTGAATTCCCTCCCTCCGCCAGTTAGCGTTGACACCAGTGATGTAATTAAACAATCCTTTATTAATTCATCATTTCAAATCCGGGAATGTGAACGGTTTCTATAACATTTCTATGCTCAGCGTCAAGATACGCTAATACGTCCCCGTAAAACAACTAAATAACAGTGATGAAGATTGTCCCAAAGAAGAAGATTTCTAAATTTCATTTTAAGCTGCTGTAGCTGGAAATACTTACGAGACGTTTAACACAGACATGAGAATACCAAAAGCACATGGCCTTAATGTTCCAATGGAAATGGTTCCGTTAGAGAAAGATATAAAACATGGCAAAATTATAGACCAAGAAAACAAAAGGCCAGTTCGTGAATCGTTTCTTAAAAATATTTGGGCTGGCTGGCTTTTGGGGAATTTCTTAAGACAGAAGACGCTACCAGGAATTCTGGTAACTTCCTGGACTTAAAGTTGATATCCTTTGATCTTACGTTACTGAAACATATGTAACGTAATAGCGACAATCAACGTATATCTACACCGTTATTAAAGAAACAGTACACAGGTGAATTAATCATCCTGATTTCAAAAACAACTATCGATGAAGTCATTCGTAGGGTAAAATGGGCACGCCGTCATCGCGGCGGTAAGACCCGTTATGGAGGATTGGCTCGAGAGGCGTCACGGGACCCTCTCATACCGATTGACGCAGGCGATCACTGGGAAGGGATGTTTCGGGGATCACCTGTGTCTGATCCGCAAGGAGCCAACGCCTGAGTGCCACCACTGCGATGGCCAGACCGTGGACACGGCTCTCCACACGCTGGCAGAGTGCCCGGCGTGGGTTGAGCAGAGGCGAGACCTCGTGGCAGCCATCGGAGTGGGAGTTCTCTCGCTCGATAGCCTGATTGCGGCTATCGTGCGGAGCGAGAGTGCGTGGAACTCTGCCGTCTCCTTCTGCGAGCAAGTTATGCTCGCGAAGGAGACGGCGTAGCGGGACCGGGAGAGGTTTAGGACTCTCCCGGCCCGCCAGGCCCGGGAACGGGCTAGGTACCGCAGGCGACTCAGGCGCCGGAGGTCGCAGAACGACCTCCGTCCTCCATAAGCGCAGGCCTGGGGGTGACAGGTGAGGCCATCTGTCACCCTAGCAGAAGCAGGCCGGGGTGGCGGCGAGCGCGTTGCGAAGCGCGCTCGCTTCCAGGGAGCACAGGGAACATGAGGTTCCCACACGGGGGGGGGTCGTCTACTCGTCTGTAGATGACCCGAGGTATGTCGGGGCACCAGGGACTTCCTTTCTAGGGTATACCTGGTTCCCCGGCTATTAGTACCCGAGACGGCCTGCGGTTTTAGTCGGTTCGAGTCCGACATGCCACCGACAGGTGGTATCCGAGGGGATTTCCGCACGGAAAAAAAAAAGGGTAAAATGGCAAAGTCTTGCTTGAATGCACTAGAAAGTCAAACATAATGTCTTTATAAACCATTTTAAGATTTTATCAACCGCTACAATAGAAGAAAACTTTATCGGTTTTTGTTTTGTTACTGAGACGAAGAATTAATAAACGGAATAGGTACTCGAGTTCGAAAAAAATGACGTAAATATTCAACTGTCGTAGCCAAGAACACTACAATGGTGATTATTGCAAATGCTCGTAGGGCAGGCGCGGGCGTACCTAAATAGTGTAGTTAAAACTCGAAAACTATACAATATCTCCAGAGCACCCAGAGGCGAGCACACTTTGTAGTCTCTGTTATGGTATAGAAGGGAAACTAGTCCGTGTAGTGAGGGGTTAAGAATACAGAGTGTCAGCACCTCTATTCATTCTGTCGTAAGAGCCGACTGATGCAGCAAACATTACCACAGCACTGCAAAGAGAAGGAAAATTTGAAAGAAACCCTATACCAACCCGTCTGGCCAGCATGGTATAGTAGGCCGAAACCTCCTTTTATTAGGAGCGTAGAGAAACACTCCGGTTTTTGCAAGCGTAAGGAACAACAGGTATCTGAGATTCATGAATCTCAGATTCCAGGCAATAGTTTTATGTTCGGATAATCGTGGGGCGGCTTAATCGATATTGCACGCGGGCTTTTAAATAGCGAGAGGCGAATCTGGATACTATCGTCAAACCTTCAAGAAAATAGTACTAACACCTCAAAGTATTGGCATGAATAAAAACTAGAATAGGACTATTAATCTCTAAAGGCATGAACAAAAGTATTTTAAGGAATAAACACGATTTTTAACGCATACTGTTGCGAGCACTATGCCTGATATCCGATGTCGTCTGACATCTGACATTCTGTTTGATAACTGTCATCAATGCCAATGTCAATGTCAATAGAATGTTTTGAAAAAAAGAGAACTTACGACACTGAAGTTAATATTTTCAGTACCTATATTTTTACAGTGATTTGAGTGTATTTTAAAATAAGTCAATGTTTTTCACAAGGGACTTTAGTGCGAAAGAAATGAGTGGCACTTAAGTTTTATCTAGTGAAAAATCGAACGCTGAATGTGTTTTGTTTAAATTTAAAAAAGATAACAATTGCTAGCTATGTCAAATTGAAAATTGTAAGTAACCAGTTTTATTATATTTTTGACATTCACAAAAATACGTAGTACCTTTTTGCTGTACATTCACTACAAATTAAAAAACCGGCTTTTTTTGTAAATGGCCTCTTATTCACTGGTTTTTCTTTTTTATATTTTCTTTTTTTTCACTATTATTGATTAAAAGTGTGAAATAGTCTTTGTCTTTGAACATATATTAACTCATTTCAAAACTATGAATTCCTAATACTGTTTTAAAGCTATCATATTGTTTTTTTTTTCATTGTTCTGCCTAAAGTGAGTGTCCTTTATTTATTTAAAACTTAATGCACATGTTGTACAAAAGCGGACTTAATGCCATTAGGCATTCTCTCCCAGTCAACCTTCAGGTGATGTAGAAATATGATGCGGTAGGTGCAAAGTAAAATATTAAATTTAACATAATTGAAGTCCGGAGACATACACAATATATAAACACACATACATACATTTAATAAAATATATAGATACTCAGTTGGGTACTAGCGTTGTGACTGTACTGCCAATTCACTCTGAAGAAGATAGCGCACTTTTCTCTTGAATGCAAAGCGATTTGTGGCAATCCTGATTTGGGCAGAAAGGGACATTCCAGAGAAGTCCTTTAGTGAGTACACTTACTTAAAATATTGATTGTTCTTAAATTTCTATATCAAATTTTGTAGTAACTGACTATAGTTTCGTAATATACATTATTAACAGTTTTGTCGACTAAACGTGTTGTATAGACTCAAAATTATTTCAATATTAACATGTGTGCACTTGTTTGTTTTTTCAAGGTTAACTTAAAATCTATGGTATTTCACATCTATGTTTTCATGTTTCATTCCTCAATTTTTTAACTAGGAATCACTAGAACTATGTAATATATTTATGCATGTAATAAATGCGTCTGATTGCAGTAGTTCCATTCTCTAGTTCCATCATGGTACTACTGGTTTTTTTTCCCCCTTTCTTGTTTGGAGAAATTACAGTGCCATATTTCTTACAGAACAATTGTCTGCGTTTCTCATAGGTAGAAGTAGAGAATG